CCACCATGCCATTCTGAGGCCAGCATGGCATGTGGTACTAGAGATCAAACTCGGGACCTTGTGCTTGCCATGTAGGCGCTTATGCTGCTGAGCTGTCTCCTCAGCCCTCCCAGCCCTTTTCATTTTTAAGTTTTGAGACAGGGTCTCAGTAAGTTGCTAAACTGGCGAGGCTAACCTAGGACTTGCGGTGCTCCTGCCTCAGCCTCCCAGAGCTCTGAGGTTATGGGGGTGTGCCGCTCTGCCTGACTTGGGTGTTTTCATCCCGTTGTTCTCTCCTGATGCCTGCCCCAGAGAGGAGGTGCCCTCTGCTCCTAAGGTCTAGTCCCTCTAGAGCCACTGTCCTAATCTTGCTATGCTTACGGAGCCCCGGCGTGTCTTGACATGGAGTCCCTGTCAGCTTTGAATCCTGCCCTGCCGCTCAGCAGCACATAACCGTGCGCCTTGGGGCACGAGCCTTAACGGTTTTGAAATTGCTTCCTCACCTATAAGACGAGAGCTTAAAACTGCCTTCCCGGAGGTTTTGGTGATTAACACTTACAAGTTGTGACCCGCTCGGCTTGCAGTCCACACTGCCCCTCTGCCTTGCTCACTGTCTGTGTTTGCTCTTAGCGGATGACCATCAGGCTCTCATCTGGGACATCCAGCAAATGCCCCGAGCCATCGAGGACCCGATCCTGGCCTACACAGCTGAAGGAGAGATCAACAACGTGCAGTGGGCGTCCACGCAGCCTGACTGGATCGCCATCTGCTACAACAACTGCCTGGAGATACTCAGAGTGTAGTGCGGTGGCTCTTCCCCACAGGGCAGGGCCACTGTGTTCCCACCTCGGCCCCACTCCAAGTAAGAAGAAACACATTTCCAGTGGCCAGTATGTCTGTCCTTGCTTTGCACCCGCTGTTTCCAGAAGCTGCTCTGCGAGTGTCTGGCCAGCCACCCGACGTTCTCTGTGCCAGCCTCAGGGCCGTGTGGCATCTCCTCAGCCCGGGGCTGAGTTTTAACATTCTTCTCAGTTTTTTTTTCCGTTGTTTCCTCAATTAAATATGTCTATATATTTGTCTGTCAGCTGTTGCATTCATGAGCAGTACGAGCACTGGCGCTGTTTGTGTCCTCTGCCCTCTGTCTGTCTGTCTGTCTGCCTGCTGCCCAAGGCAGTGGTCCGTGTCCTGTCCCTGTCCATGTCCACAGTAGCACTTAAGTGGGAACAAGTACCAACTTGAAGTAATCTTTCCTCCTGGTGTCAGTGTCTTTAACAAATCTCAATTTTGTATATTTTTATCTATCAGGCTAATTTTTTAATGAAAATAATATTACTCTTCTAGTTTCTTCTGTTTTACAGTCCCCGTTTTGCACCTTCCTCTCTTCTCTTGGTGCCCGCAGTGGGCACCGGGCCCCGACCCTATGCACAGCCTGCCTTCCTGAGTTCTTGCTGAGTGGTGCCTGCCTGGCCAGGACTCGCAAGCCCCCGGTGCTCTAGCTCCACTGACACCTCACTATTTTCTCACCCTGGCTCTTTGGGGCTCACAGAACAGACAGCTCCCACGTCTGGCCTCACCCAGACGGGAATATGATAGAGCTGAGCTAGGCAGCTGATGAGGGAGGCAGGCAGGCTGGGGAGGAATCATTTCAGGAAAGCTGAACTTGGAGCGTATTTCCGGTACACAGTGTTGGAGCTTTTCCATTCACTTGTAAGCCTCAGGCCACTCCTTTCTGGAACTTCAGTGATAGGCAAGAAAGATCCGCAAGCTGAACTTTGGTACTTCTGTTCATTGAGTTTCCTGAGCCTGGTGGAATACTGGTCCCTCTTTGGATTGAGTGAGGAAAAGTCTGTGCTGACACAGTGCGAGTTCTTTAGGAGGGGCGAGACAGGCAGCGGTCATTGGGGTGGACTAATTGGGTGTGATGATCCGAGCCTTCGGGTGACTAAGAATCCCAGGTCCCAGGCCAGCCAGGAAAGCTGTCAGACGCAGCCCTAGCCCAGCGTACGTTCTGGGCAGTATTGAGCTTGTAGTCTTCTGGTAACTGCTGACTCACAGGCTGCAAGTGTGTTTCCGTTACGTAGCTAGGTTGCAGGGAGGGGGCGTGCGTGTGGTTCTGGCTTTAGAAGAGTCCTTGGCGTGGGCAGCATCTGGGGCTTGGCCACGGAGTTTGCCTGGCTTGTCGCGCTGTCAAGTGCCTGCAGCTGTGGGGACCTTCTGAGTTGCTCGCCTGAGAGCAGGTGAGCAGCAGGCCCGGCAGCCAGTGACCTGTCCACTTAGGCTCTCACCTGCTCGAGAGACTAGTTAGCTGCGTTCTCCTGGTCTTCAGCCTCTCCTGTGAAGTCTTCCCATTCCACAGCCGATGTGGCTCTGTACACAACGTCACAGCTCACTCTACTCCAGCAGGCTTGTCCCTAAAGGAAAGGCTTTGTAGACGGGTGTCTCCCGCCTGGAGCTTCTTACTCTTGTTCTGACGTGGGGCTCTGGGTGGTGCTGTCCTGCACTTACGACCAGATTTTCACTGCATTGATGGGGATCATGAGCAAGCAGTTCTTAGGCAGACCCTTCCTCTGCTTTTAATTGTTTGCTAGTGGTTACGGGGATCCTCCTCCTCCTCAGGGAGCAACTTCAGCTGATCGCTGCCTCCTAGGGGCCCCCATTTCTTCCTGTGATGGGAGTTGGAGTGGCAGCCGTGGCTGGCTCTGCTTGGTGGGATGAGGGGTGGGCGGGTGCACTGAGCTCTTAGAGGACTTGGTCCTGGTCTGAATGGCAAGGAGGTGTGTCAACTGGAACTTGAAAAATACTAACTCATAAAATTAATTAGTAGTTATTTGCCTAGATTTGGATGGTGGTTTTCTTTGGCCCCCGGCCCCCCAGCCATAACCCCTCCTTGGGCTCTGCAGTGTGCTCTGCCCCTCCGCGCCCATCTGGAGCTCAGGTGATACTCTTCCTGTCCCACAGCACACGCACTTGTGCTCATGGTTACCTTGAAATTCCCACTCCCACCTTCCCTTTACACCACAAGCAAATGGCCCCTGGCCAAGGAAGGAGTTTGTGTATTCTCCAGATATGGAGCCCCTGGCCAGCTCGGCTCCAGAAACAAAGTAAGTCTGTGGTAGTTTCAGAGTAAGTCTCAGTTGTTCAGTTTTCAGGTTAACCACCAATAAGATTGCTGGAGACAGGGAGATAGCTCAGTGGCATAAGCACTTGCCTTGCAAGCACACACACACACACACACACACACACACACACGATTGCTGGAGAGCTCCCATCTGCTCTCCTCGAGCAGCTGGGAGGCCTTTCTGTGCGGGCACCTCTGGGCTGTGGGCAGCTGTGGTGCCCCCTTTGATGCCCTTGACAGGCCAAGCCACAGGTGCAGACAGATCTGCCCTGCTGAATGGTGGAGCGCTGGGTCCAGGAATGGGTGTGAGGCACTGAAGGACATGAGCATTATTCTCAGGAGGTGAAGACCCTCTCCTTCCAAGGAAGCCCTAACCTGCAGGGTTAAATCTAAAGAGGGGCAGTATTGGATAAGTGGGCGGCAACTTCGAGTCAGATCCAGAATCAGCTCTTGGAGAATTGGCTTAAGAACATAAAAAATCCAGCGTCTTGCAGCGTTTTACTGATAGTTGTGGTGGGAATTTATAAGATCTAAGATGTAGGAGAAGTCAGTGGTATTTCTTTGGATCGAGGGCGGGACTGTTGAAGGGCAGGCCAGGCCTGAGGTGGGGATCCGTTCAGACTTGCGTGGCTGTGGAGAGTCCATGCCCTCGGCCTGGCCACCCTTCCTATACTACTAGTCAGGCATCTGTGGTGCTGGGTAGCTGTGCGCCAGGGTGACAGCTCAGGGAAGGAGAGTCTCCCTGCAGCAGGCAGCTGTACGCGAAAACACGCAAGTGTCAGGTATCCAGTAGCACTTCCGACCATAGTTCTTCTTAGTTACAGGTTGCTCCAAGGTGGGAAGTGGTCATGTAGCCCTGTCCTATTTCTTTCCTGTTCTTCTCTTGCCGTTGCACTGTAGAACTTTCTCCTTGCTGTGCCAGAGCTCGTAGGTCCCAGGAAGTAAGGGCATTTGGGAGCCGCAGGGCCTACCAGACAGGCGAGGGGGTAGCCAGACTGCACCCCCACCGTCCTCGCTTTGACAGTGTGACAGTCCCGCTGCCCTCTGGGCACACCGCTGGAGTGGAATACTTGAAGCACATGTTTCTCCTTATTCTCTGTACCCCAGAACAGGGAAGGAGGGCCATGCCTGGCACCTAGGGTGAGTTTTCTGGAAGAAAGCTGAGCTAAGCAGTGAGCCATAGGCTAGGCTTTTCAGGAGTCGTCTTTGCCCTGGCTGCGCAGCCACCAAGGGTGTCTCATGTTGTGGAGCCTTGTCCACTGCACCCCTCTGTCCCCTTTCTTCCTCCCACCGTTGTCCTTGCTGCTAATGGTCAAAGTCAAATGTGTGGCCACATGGGATGGGTCAGGTCTTGGGCTGCTTTCTGGATGGTTTTTGTTGTTGTTTTTTTTAAATTTGGAAACATGCAGGTGCCTTCCTAAAGAGGCTTGGACTGGGGTGTCAGACCAGGAACAAATAAGCTGAGAAAGTTTGAACTCCAAAAGAAGGGTGCTGCCAGCGTGGGGCAGCTGAGAGCTGCGTGCGCACCCACTTTTGGGACAGCCCAGTGAGGATGAACTCACGCTGGCTACTGTTACAAAACGTGTCACGCTTCGGGTTGTTCTGGTTGTGTTCTAGAACACGATCAACGGAAGCTTCAGGTGGCTTTAGTCCAGCGTGGATCGCTTGCTTTGGTTCCTGTATGTTTTATGACCCCTCTGTCAGTGACTCCCCCTCCCCCCCGAGTGTGAATTTGTAGCATGATTGTATAAGCCTCTATGTAGAAGATGGAGATTTCTTGTTCTCTGAAATGTTAAGCTCTAACCTCTGTGCCCTTTAGCCTAGGATGTCTGAACTTACTTTCTTACATATTTAAACCTTCCCTCTGTCCTATAGGTTTTGTGGCATCCTCTGGTCAAATGGAGAGGAAGCTGCTCCTTGCCGAATTGTACTGTAACCATTTTTCTTTTATAAATATTATTTTCACAGGACTGATTGTATACAGGGCTTGTAATAAGATCTTAACACTGTGCTGTGAACCACGCAGAGGAATCTCCACTGCAGGCAGTATGAAGGCACCTGAGAGTGGAGTCTTTTTATGACTTCTTTTTTATTTCCTAAATACATTAAACCTAATTTTCACCCTTTCATTTTGTTTCAGCTTCCTGTATAAGAAGTACTGTATTTTCTGCCCATCATACTTTGTAATAAAACTTGAACATATGTAGATGAATTTCCTCTTGTGATGCATGCAGTCCTTTCCGGCTTGCCCCTGTGGTTGTGTTTCAGACGGGCTAGGGGACAGACTCTGCCTTTGCCCAGTACGTTTGTCACTCACAGTCTTTTTGTGTGTGCTAGTCTATAGCACACGGTGATTCCACTCATAATGGACTCACTTTTTTATCTCCTGTGTGGTTGCTGTTACTCAGTTAACACAAGGCGGAGCATCTCCTCTTCCCAAGCCGTGGCTCTCGGGCTGTGTGCACCGTACCCAAGGAGACTTGCACATAAGCGGATACCTGGCGCCGTTCTGTGAGCTCAGGTGGGCTCAGGGAAAATGCCAAGGAATGAAGAGTGCCTGCGTGGGGTATGGTGGCTAGTGTGGCCAGAGAGCCAGCCGGGCAGGGAGTGTTGCCACCGTGTTAGGCCTTGGGCTTGTGTTTGAAGGCTTGGAGAATTTCTGTAGAGGGACATCCTGATAGAATGCCATCGCTGAAGGGTGGGCAGTGAAGAAGCAGCCTTGGCGGAGTGATGCAGGGGAGATGATGGTCGCCTGTCACAGTTATCAGTGCAAAGGCACGAAGACCTGAACTAGGGGAGGAGCCGCAGAGGGGTGACGGGGACAAGTCGTGGAGGAGAGGACGTCATCAGGATGCAGTCCTCCCCTAGGTGCGGGAGCCCAGCGTGGCAACTTGGTGACTTAGCAAGGCCCTGTCTCAAAATGAGAATGACTGGGGATGTGGGTAAAGGCCCTAGGTCATCCCTAGTACCACCGAAAAAGAAGTATTCAGTAATCGATAGGCTTTGAGGAAGGCAAAGAGACAGCCCCCAATTTCTAGGTCTGTGTTTGGACTCCAGCCTCTGGCAGCTACCTCGGGATTTCGAATTCCAGGTCAGTTTCCCAAACCCCTGCCTGTGCTTGGTAGGATGGGGACCTACCACATTGCACTGCTGTTCCAGTGCCACGTGTCCCAGGTAAATACACCGTCGCCCATTCATTTTTAATTCTGTGCCTACGCCTCTTTAGGGGAAGAGAAGAAAGGCAAGCTAGGTCTGTACTCGGTAAGTGCCTGTCGTTGTCGCAGGACATGGAGCTCGAGGAAGTGGATCTCTGAAGACAAGACAGTGTGGAGAACTCTGTGCCCTGCTGGCTCGGGGGAGATGCACGATATGATCTGAGAATGCATACTTTGTAGGAAATACATCATTCCTGTTTCCTGGGTTTGTTTTTAGTTTTAGTGGCACTGGGCGTTGAACAGGGTCTCGCACATATGGTATTAGGCACGTATGCTACCACCGAGCTGTATCATTCCCAGCCCTGTAATTTTTTTTTTTTTTTTTAGTTTTTTGAGACTGAATCTCACCATGCGTTTCAGCTGGCCTTGAGCTCACTATGTAGCCTAGGCTGTCTTTGAACTTGTTGCAACCCTCCTGCTTCTGCCTCCCGAGTGTTGGGATTACAGGCGTGCGCCACCATGCGCCAGGCTCGTGTTGTTTCCCACACTGGCCTTGGATTTTCAGTCTCCCCGCATCAGCCTACTGAGCAAGGCAGGGCTGCAGGTGAGAGCCACGAAGTCCGGCAAGCTCGCTGGCTTTACGGAGGAAGCTGGGAGGGGAATGCTGACTGTAGCCTTGGTGGTTGAGGCCCATGGTGGTGAACCTCTTACAGTTTCAGTGATACCAGGTGCCACTGTGATACGTGTGCCATGGGTTTGTCCCCACTGCTGCAGGCTGTCTGCTGTAACCTCGAAGTCTCAGGGACCACGCAAAACGAAAGTTTAATTTTATTGAATGAAGTCTTCTCTACTTTGTGGCTGCCTCATGGGACACACAACTCCTGGCTGGCATGGGGGGGGGGCGCCTTGCAGAAGAACCCTGGGAGGAGCATCGTCCTCATGTCTGCCAGCCTTGGTTCTGACATAACTGCAAAGAAAGTCAAGAAATGTAGCTCTTCTGTGTACCTTGAAAGAGAAGGTAAAATGATGAAGAAATAGTGACATCTCTGCAGTACCAGAAATTGGCAAACCATCCAGGACAGCTGCCCGTGTCACTGCATTCCTTGGGAGTTGTTAGAATTAGACAACACGGGTGAGCCTAATAGTGTGGGACTTAGCCTGCTCGGGTCTCCAGGCTCCCTTGCAGATTGAGTTCAGCGATCCTAACAAGAGGCCTGAAGTTACCTCAAGAAAGTGACTGTTAGGCCGAGGAAGGAGAAATCTGCCCTGTGTGGTCACAGCTGGGGGACCCAGGCGTGGCTCTTGGACCACTTGCCTCAACACCTGGGTTCCAGCCCCAGCATTGAGGGTGGGGACGCTGATGACATCAGATGGAAAGTTAATAGGAAGTGATACTTTTCTACTTTTCTCCCAAGCACACACTCCAACCTGAAGGGTCATGAAAACTTTCTCTGTGACAAAGAAAAAAAAATTCACTGATAAATCTTGTTCTTTAAAACTGCAGGCTGACATTTTGCAGTTGGAAATTGTTAGGATGAAGCCTTCACTTTTGTTTGGAGGGACTGCTGCTTTGACATAGAGAAGGAGCTTGGGTGTCCAGCCCAGGCGTAGCACTTCCAAGAGGGATTTCTAGACACAGCACTGCACATTTAACTTGGTACTTCTAAAGAAACTGGTGTTGGGGGTTATAGCTCAGCAGCACAAGTGCCTGTGGGGCAAGTGCAAGGTGCCAAGTTCAATCTCTGGTACCGGAAAAAAAAAATCTTGATCTCCATCCTCTTCCTAATCCTGCAGTAACCATCTTTTCCTGTTAGGTGAGACTCCCTACTATTCCTGGTATGTGGTCTCCCCTGTTACAGTGCACCAGTAATTTGGACTAATGCCCCCCAAGTGCTGGGCAGCTGGAGAAGGGCAACTATAAATCTTGTTTGGGCCTCAATACTAATTTGTGGTTATAAATTCTGGAGGGGGGAGATTCCTGTTAATTTTTTTTTGCTACTAAAGTAACACAACAGAGGGGCTGGGGAGATAGCTTAGTAGAATAAGCGCTTGCCTGGCAAGTGCAAAGATACTCAGCATCATTACTCATGAGGGAAGTACAATCAAAACTAAAATTACACAGTACACCCCAACATGGCTGTAACTGTAGACAAAAAAGAACAAATTTAGTGAGGATTTGGAGAAATTAACCATCCTACTTGCTGGTGTGAATGTAAAATAATGCAGTCATTTTGAAAAACAGTGGCTCTCTTTCAGAAGGTTAAACAGTAATCAACTGGGGCTGGCCAAATAGCTCAGTGGATTAAAGCGCCTGCAAGAAGGTGCAGGGGCTGGGGGTTTGATCCCGGGGCATGTCATGCCGGCCCTGCCCCTGGGGTGCGCTGAGATGGCAAGTGAGACTGGGGGTGGTGGCGTGTGCCTGTAATCCCAGCCCTTGGGAGGCTGTAAACAGGCAGATCACTAGGAGCCTGATGTATGCAGTGAGACCCTGTAGACCCTTGTCCTAAAATACAATAAATAAATAAATAAATAAATAAATAAATAAATAAATAAAATGAACATTCTACTAAGGTACGAGCATGCACAGAGAATGATGTGGGCGCAGAGCAGATCATCTGAGCTCAACGGAGAGGTAGCAGGTGAGGGCGGGAAATGCTGCTTGGGCAGGAATCTTGGAGGAAGAACAAAAACTGCAGGCGAATGAGGTGGAAGAGAGCCCAGGCAGGTGGAGGGGGCGCTCAGTGCAGGGAGCGGGAGCAGTGCTGGGAGCACTGGGGGGTCCTCCTCTGGGAAGTACAAGGAGGAAGATTCCAGAGTCATCACTAAGTAGCATGAATAACGAGCGATTCTCCTTTTTTAAGTTTTTGGGCTGGGGATGTAACTGTTAGAATGCTTCAGTGGTAGAATGCTTGCCTACCATGCTTTAGGCCCGGGGTTTCATACACACACACACACACACACACACACTTTATAAGTGACCTACAATATCAGTTAAAAACTCGAGTAACATAAGGCTTCATGAGGATGACAGCTTAATTGGGTTCTGAAGCGCAACAAAGACTTTACTAGTGAGAAGATGAATGAAGGATGAGCCCAACCCAAAAACAAAGGTGATGAAAGGCTTGTACTCCATGGAGCATAATAACCACCCTCCTCAGCGCCCCCCGCCCCAGAAATGCAGCATCAGGATTGATTATGGTGGGCCGGGGAGATGGCTCAATAGTCAGGGCTTTACTTAGAGGAACAGATATAACATAAGGAACAGATATTAACACAAGATATACAATGTATAAGGAATTACAAGGTTAGCTTAGGACAGTCAGCCGCAGAGTCAGATGGGGGAGCGCGCAGAGGGCGTCTGCACACCCAGACAGGAGTTCGGTCCCAAGGTCTGAAGCTCACTGCTGTGTTCCCTGCAAGTCTATTTGTCAGCTGATGGGTCTGCGACGGAAGACTGAAGAGTCTGCATGGACAGCGAAAAGTCTGCGACAGAAAGCGATGGATCTAAGCTAGAGGCCGAAGAGTCTGCGCTGCAAGCCAGGCGATGAAGTCTAAGCTAAATGCGAAGACTGAAGCTTCTCTGACGCAGTGGAACGTAACTACTTCCTCAGCCCCTTTATATGGTCTCTTTGTGCTGAGTCACTCTTGGAGCAGAACCCGCTGGGCCCCAGGGCGGGACCCCCACAATGTATGGACCACTACAGCCTTACATTCACTTTCCTGTTTAGTCTTAATAGGCCATACCACCTGGCCCGTGGTTACACAAGCAATGAAACAGGGCTCAAGTCCATCCCGTCCAACCCCGGCGGGCAGAAATTTAAGCTCGTTCACACAGTGTAGGCGTCTGTGACAGCAGGGGCTTTGGATTTAAATCTCACCATGGAGGGCCACTGAAAAATTTTTCCGCTACCTGCAAATTTGTTTCTTCTCCATTTTCTATTCTCTTTTTTCTCTTGGGAGATCAAACGTAAAATGAAAAGCGGAGTTTGGCCCCAAAAGGTTTGTCTGATGATTTTTCCTCTCCGCGAAAGCCTGTGACTCAAGTGAATCTATCCCAGGGCGTTAGAAACTTAAATCACTATCACGACTGCTGCAGTTTGCCTAAGTTTATTCCTCTAAGTCTCATGTCGTCGTTCCAGCTCCCTACGCTGGTAAAGTAGGTGGCCGCCCCCTTATTTATATATAGAGAAAACATTGGATCCGAGGGATGAATGGGCAAATTACTTTCCTGGACGCCCTCACCACGTACAACAGGACGGTGGAATTACTCCCTTGCAAGAACAAGACATTTATCTTTGCGGACTTTCTCAGAGTTAAGAAGGAATTTGGAAGCAAAATCGGTTGCATAATTCAGGGTATTTCTACTAGGTCATTGCGGGGAAACAAGCCCTCCAGACACCCCCCTCACGCACCCCGCTAAGCGACCCCCCCGGAGCCAGCGCGCGCCGCTCCCTCCCCGAGCTCCTCACCCGGCTGGGCGGGAGGACCGGTACCCTGCGGCGGCGGAACGCACTTGGCGGTGGCGGTGGCGGTGGCGGGGACGGGTTTCCGCAACGGACCCAGGAGAGGAAGCGTGCTACGTCATCAAAGGTCTCCGCGCTCGGCCGCGGCTGAGCTGCGCCGGCGTGGCGTGAGCGGTGGCTCTCGGAGGCTGGCGGAGCGGCCGCCGCGCCGGAATCCGGAAGCAGATAGGCCGCGCTGACCTTGGCGGCGCCGGGTCGCAGCCTGCAGCCCGCGGTCGGAGCCGATGGCGGCTCGCGCTGCTGTCAGCCTGAGCAGGTGCGCGCGAGCGCGGGGCCCCGGCGTCCTCGAGGCGGCCCCGCGCGGCGTCCTGCCGGGCTCCGGCTCCTGCGCTGCGGGCCGGACGCTGCACCTCACCTCGGAGGCCCCCGCCGGGCACAATAAGTGGTCCAAAGTGCGGCACATCAAGGGTCCCAAGGACGCCGAAAGAAGTCGCATTTTCTCTAAGCTTAGTCTCAGCATCCGCCTGGCCGTCAAAGGTGAGAACTGACGGTCCGTGGCCGCTGGCCGCAGTGACCTCTCCGTGCGCCTCTCTTGCCTCCCCGAGCCGGGCCATCACCCACGCGACGCCGGACTGCATTTTCTTTTCCTTCCCCACTTGTTGTCATGGTCCACTTCGAAACGGCTAAGTTGGATGACCCACCCACTTTTCTAGACAACTTTTTTTGTGTGTGTGGGTCAGAGAGGGAACTACCCTGTGGGAGAGAAGAGGTAACAGAGACTTCATGGAAGTGTGGGTCTGAGTGCCTGGACTTCCTAGGAACATCCTGAGAGTCGGTGGACTGTGTGCCTCTTCAGGAGGCAGAGCAGGCTCTCTGCGGCGGTCGCCTCGAGCGGCGTGCAGGTTGTGGCAGGAGCGCTGAATACAGTTATCACCTCCTCAGGCCTCACTTAGGGTTTCTCCTTAGGGTTTCCCGCGGCACATTTTCTTGGAAGATGGGTATGCAATCAGTTGCAAGCCACCCTGAAGGTCTGTTTTCTTTTCAGTTGGACACCCATAGGAAGAGAGGGAAAGCCCTGTAAAAAGCATAGAGCCTACATTGTACCAGTAAACTTAAATTTAAAAAGAAAAGAAACGTGGCAAAGGGAGCTGAGAGAATGTAGCTCAGAGGTCGAACACTTGCCTAGAGTGCAGTAGCCCTGGGGTCTGAATTCCAGCGTCACCAAAAAGTGGAGGAGGGGGATGTGTCTGGACTTTGGATTTTGTCACTGACCAGCCTTAAGCAAGTGGCTTAACTTTGCTGATTTTGTTTCACTTTCTCTAAAACAGGGCAAATGCCCAGTTTAAGGTAGTGTGTGTGTGTGTGTGTGTGTGTGCGCGCGTGTGTGTGTGTTTGTGCAGGGGAATAAGCATTTAATGTTTGTCCCTACAACTCATGCCTGATCATTCTGTTCTTGCTGCTGCTGCTGCTTGGACTGTGAATTGAACTTAGGAACACTGCCACTGAGTTCTATCCCTGCCTTCTTTAATTTTTAGTTTTGAGACAGGGTCTAAGTTACCCAGGTGAGATTTGAACTTGTGATCCTCCTTGCCACAGCCTCTCTAAGTGCTAGGGGTAAGTATGCACCACTGAGCCCAGCTTCTTTTAAAAATCGAAGCAGGAGCCTTGCCCATGCTAAGAATTTTGTTGTTGTTTTGGGTTTTGAGACATGGTTTCCCAGGGCAGGTCAGGATGGCCTTCAGTTCACTATGTAGTCCAGGCTGGCCTCCAGCTGGTGGTGATCCCTCCCTCTGCCTCCCAAATGCTGGGATTACAGGTATGTGCCTACAGTTGGCCAGAATTCTTGGTATTGTTTGACTAACACTGGTGAGTGTTTATTTCAATGCCAGGCACTGGAAACTCAAAGATTGTAACAACCGACTTCCCCGAGATAGCATGAGTACAGTGTCATTGAGCATTTCATTAATTATGCCCAAAGTATTGTAAGAGTAAGAACAAGGAGTATGACACATTTAGGAAATACTGTTACTTTTTTTGGTCTTTTTAAGATAGAGTCTCATTGTGCAGTTCAGGCTGGCCTTGAGCTGACTTTGTAGCTCAGCCTGGTCTTGAACTCCCAACGATCCTCCTGCCTCAGCCTCCCATGGGAAATACTGTTACTATCTCTTGCCGCTTCTGCTGATGAAAAGTGGTGTTCACTGAACCTAGCACAATGATAGCTGTCCCAAAGGCAAGGCGAACTCGAAATTTCTTTTCCAGGATCTTCTCCATATCCAATGAAAAACCGGATAGTGTTTCAACAATGAGCAAAATGGTAGCTTGCTGTTGTTTTGGCTAGAGGGAGTGGGGAGTGGGCTAGAAATTCCTTCTCGCTCCTTCTTGGTGATGTCTTTGCTCCTTCTCTTTTCTTTGTCTCAGAGGGAGGCCCTAATCCGGAGCTCAACAGCAATTTGCTGAACATCTTAGAGGTGTGTCGCAGCAAGCACATGCCCAAGTCGACAATTGAAGCAGCGTTGAAGATGGAGGTGTGCCCTCAGTTTAGCATTCCTGTTATTGATTTCTTTTAACAAGGGATTGAACTCAGAACCTTGTGCTTCTTAAGCCCTGAGCTATCTCCCCGGCCCTATCCTGTTACTGACTACAGCCGCCACAGTATTCATATTTGGATATTTGGGAGGTCACCAGATAGCCTTGAATTAGCAGAGAAAGAGTAGAAATGTGGTTCATCACGTTGGCCACAGACCACTGGGGCTCCCTGTCCTTGGCCATCGGCTGAAGAAGCACAAGTGGAAAGAGGGTGGGTAGATGGGGGGCGGGTGCCCAGAGCCAGGCCGAAGAGGTGTGACTGAAAGAGAAGGAGCTGGGAGAAAAGCTCTGATGTCAGGCGGAAGAAAGACTTGGGTTTGGGGTTTTTTTTTTCCAGATATTTATTCTGTAGAGGAGAAAAATCAGTGGGAAGGGAAAGGGTGGGCGTCATTGTGCTGGTGTGAGGGGCAGGGACGTTGCGCTCTGGTGAGGAGGCAACTTTTCTTCTAATACTATACAAGTAAGAAGGATCTGCGGAAGTTAATCATTGTTATTAAGCTGTATCCCTGAGGTTTTGTTTTTTTCTTTTGAGACAAGGCTTCACTACATAGTTCAGATTGGCTTTGTACTCATGTGGCCCACGCTGCCCTTGAACTTGTGGTGATCCTCCTGACTCAGCCTCCTGAGTGCTGGGATTACAGATGTGTGCCACCATGCCCAGGTCCCCATGCCTTTTACAAAGGTATTTTATTTTGACATTTGAGACAGGGTCTTTCTAAGTTTCCCAGGATGGGCTCCAACTTATGATTCTTTGCCTGCAGCTCCCAGGTAGCTGGGATTACAGGAATATGCCCCATACCTAGCTCATAGTCATTTTAATACCTAATAGTTATTAAGCGCTTCTTCCAGGCCAAGTACCTTGATGAGAATTCTGTGTGCATTATCTCAGCGGATACTTAACATGATGTTAAGTGGAAACTGGGACACAGAAAGGTTTGTGACTTGACTTAGGCTGCACAGAAAATGACAGACTCGAAACCAGACAGCCAGACTCCAGAGCCTGTGCTCTCGCCAGTAGACATATTTTCTTCATCTAAGCCTTGGTGGAGGCAGGATTTTCCCCCACCCAGGGGCCCTGTACATCTTTTGTGAGAGAGGCAAGGAGAAGCCATCAGTTGAGAACTCCTGTAAAGGTTCAGGAACAGGTGCTTGGAGGGAGTAGGGAGGTCAGATGTGCAGATGAGGGCTGAGTGCAGGTGTGCCGAGTCCAGAGAACATCGGTCCTTAGAGCCTGAGCATGTGAATTTTGAGGCCATCCTATTTTCTGTGGCTCTCATGCTACGGCCCAGGTGTGTGCATTTTCTGCAGCAGTATTCAGCAGAATCTCCAAGGTCGGAGCACTGGTGGATTTTGTGTAGAATGGTGTATAGAGGGATTAATCATGGATGCTGGCTGTGACCAGGAAACCATGAGATTTGGAAGGAAGCAGAGCTGGGAGATGGCTGATTATTGAGGGGCCAAGGAAACAGACTTCCCAAGAACGGCTAGCACTTTCAGTTACCTCAAAAGTTCATCCCAGAGCTCTCCTCAGAGAGTGGGTCAGGAAGATCTGAGCGCCCAGAATCCAGGCTGAGGAACCCACCCACAGAGTCAGCTTTGTGCTGCCTGTGGGACGGGCTGGCCTGTGAGAGGGAGCTGGAGAACCAGAAACTGTATTCATGGTTCCTGTTGTTTATTGCAGAAAACTAAGGACATTTATTTGCTGTATGAGGGTCGAGGTCCTGGTGGCTCTTCTCTGCTCATTGAGGCCTTATCTAACAGTGGCTTCAAGTGCCAGTCAGACATTAGACATATCCTGAACAAGAATGGGTAAGTGGGGGCGCTGAGGAGATGGCTCATTAGAATAAGCACTTGCCTGACAAGTACAAGGGCCTGAGTTCAATCCCCAGTACCACAAAAAAAAAAAAAAAAAAAAAAAAAAAAAGATTGATACTGTTAAAAAAAAAAAATGTGAACATCTAGGGGGCCAGAGAGATGGCTCAGTGGAATAAGTGCTTGCCTGGTAAGTGCAAGGACCTGAGTTCAATCCCCAGTTCTGGAAAAAAAAAAAAAAAAAAAAAAGAATAAGTATGTGTCAGAGGGAGAGGATGGTGGAAGGGATCAGAGCCTTTAAACTGCGCTTCTAAGACAGACAAATGCCAGGTGGTCGTTAAGCACACTTCCTCCTTAGCTGAATCCAATGGCATTACTGATTTCCTTTACTAGGCAGGATCTGAAAGACAGGATCTTGGTCTGATTATCCCTTCTGAAGCCATATAATGCCCAGGTCTTAAAATATTGCACCAGAACCGGAGTCTTAATGGACAGGAAATGATGACCCAAGTCTTTGCATCCGCCAGACTCCAGTCAGGGCAGAAAATGCAGGGTGAGGATGAGTCCCATATGTTCCCTGATCTATGGCAGCTGCACCTTCTCCTTGGGGGGGGGGGGGGGGCGCTCCATGTCTGTGTGTAAACCGATGCTGAGTGGGGAAGAGTTGACATCAGAACGCTGTGCGCTGTGGAGGCCGAGTGTCTGCGGCGCTCCCACACTCCACCTCCTCCTCTCCTGCCAGGGGAATGATGACCGAAGGAGCACGTCACTGCTTTGACAAAAAGGGGGTAGTCACGGTGGGAGTGGAGGACAAAGAGAAGAAAGCTGTGGGCCTAGAGCGTGCACTGGAGCTGGCATTTGCAGCAGGAGCCGAGGATGTCCAGGAAGATGAGGATGAAGACAAGAACTTTTTAAAAGTGAGTAGGAAGGGCTTGTGCTTCCTGGGCTCCTGAGAGGGCATTAATAGAGGCTGGGAGGCGGTACCACTTGGTGTCTTCTTTGCTGCACTTGGGATACAGGTAAGGCGGACCCCTCACATGGTCACTACGTGACAAGTGGCACCTGCCCTACTGAGGATGATAAGTATTCAGAACCTTGGAAACTGAGAGATTCGTTGAGAACAGTGTCTCTGTTTAAGACGGCAAAGTTCCGTCAGGCTTTGTCTCATTAGTGCCTAGCTCCTCACCTCCTGCCTCTCCTTTGTCTTCAGTTTATCTGTGATAGCTCTTCGCTGCATCAAGTAAGGAAGAAGCTAGACTCCTTGGGCCTGTGTTCGGTGTCCTGCACGCTGGAGTTCATCCCCCACTCGAAGGTGAAGCTGGCTGACGCTGACCTCAAGCAGGCTGCTCATCTCATCCAGGCTCTTGTCAGCTATGAAGATGTGATTCGTGTGTATGACAATATTGAGTGACAGATGGTGTGCCCCTGGGCTCCTGGGCAGCTTTTGGGCCATCCTAGAGCACAGGCTTGCTTCCACAGCAGTCTCTGAGAGGGAGACAGGTAGGAAGCATGGTAGACTAGCCCTGAGGCCAAGACCTGTGTTCTAGGCCAAGGAATCCCATACTTGTGGTGGGCTGCTTTGTCAGCTCTGCTGGTGTCTCAGCTCTTGGATGCAGGTTGGTGCCAGCCAGCCGGTGGACCGTGATCTGGTGGACGCTGATCTCGGGTAATTGGCCCCTGTGAGCATTACAAATACCCCAGGGCCATGTGCAGTAGAAACTGCTCTTTATTTTAATATATATATTTTTTTAATATCAGGGATTGAATTCAGGACATTGCACTTGCCAGGCAGGTGCCTATGCAGCTGAGCTGTCTCCCCAGCTTGTATGACTCTTGAATTGTCATGAGTTTGTGCCTGGTTGTGGAGACCTCTAGCTCTCTTATGTATTTCATTCTTAAGACTGTCATTTATTTACTTAAGTATTTTTTGATAGTGGCTGGATCCAAGCGTTCTATAGCTTGTTTGGGTGGCATTCATTCATGTAACAAATGTTCATGAAATTCCCATTTCTCAAGTGCTGACCAGGTACCAGGAACTCTACTTATCTGAGCACACGCTGCTCACTTGGCCTCACAGTGGGCAGGATGACCCTATATTCTGCTCTCAGAGGTGGGACCTCAGAGGGGAGGTACAGGGCCGTTCTGTATGGGAACTGAGCTAGGGCAGTGTGTGCTGCTGGTGTGCATCTGTGTTCTCTCTGTGTGAACTTCTTGCTCTTCTACCAGAGAGCTTACAGCTCCAGGCCAGAGGACATAGGTGCTGGTGATAAGGGATTGCCAGGCCCTTGTATTGCCTGGCGCCCTTGAATCCTTCCATCGCTCACAGTAAACCTGTCAGTAGACAGCCTGCTTTCCTGAAAGTCTACACCAAGCTAGGTTTGAGAACTGCGGGGCCCCAGAACTTCCAGCCCTGGTTTCTTTTCCTCCTCAGTGCCAAAGGATGGGATACTGGGAACTGGAGCGGAGTAAGGGACAAAAGGATGTCTAAAGGACTGAATCAAGCCTATCCTTTGCTGCCTTTTGTCCTACTAGTCACTTCCTGCTTCAGAAAAGCCAGGAGGGTCAGCCACCTGTCCCTGTCAAGCATTTGGTCTGGAGTGGCCTTTGGGTTCCTATTATCCACCTGCTTTAAGTTGTAAGCTGTTTGTGAACTCAGAATAATTTTCCAGAAGGAGCCACAGATAAATAAAGATGGAAAAGAATTAAAACCAAATTGACTGCAGTGGCAACTTGAGCTTCTAGGAAAGACGGATGACTAATTTCACAATGACTTAACCAATAATGAGCATGAGCTGGGGGGAAAAAAAGTGCAAGATCAGGCCAAAACATATGCCCTTATACCTCCTTCTGTAGTCATGCTGCTATCTAGGGTTCTTTAGTTTCTGTAGGAGACAATTCATCCAAACATCAGAATAGTACACCATTAAAATAGGTGCCTTTAAGTTTATATGGAAGATGTTTTCATGTTATTTGGTTTTCCCAACAAACCTGTATTTTATGCTCAAATGATCTCATACCAAGCAGGTGAAGACACTACATTTTGTACTTGCAGAGCTTATTTATAAAAATCGCAGTGGTTTGGAAATACTGTCATTTCTAAGATAAGAAATGTATATTAAAAGATCCTACTTTTTTTTGGTACCAGGGATTAAACTCAGGACCTTGTACTTGCTAGGCAGGCACTTCAGTCGCTGAGCTACCTCCCCAGCCCCCTACTTTTTTTCTGTATGTTTGAGACAAGGGCTCACAGCGTGGCTCAGGGTGGCCTTGAACTCACTACATAGCCCAGGCTGCTCTCCAACTCGGCATGGTCCTCCTGCCTCAGCCTTCTCAGCACCACTGAGCCTGGCTAACGAAAGGATCCTACTTTTATTTATTTATTTATTTATTTATTTATTTATTTATTTATTGAAGTCAGGCCCTTGCGCTTGCCAGGCAAGCGCTTATTCTACTGCTTATTCTACTAAGCCATCTCCCTGGCCCCAGGATCCTACTTTTAAAGGGAAATTGGTTATTTATGTTTATATGCCTCCCCTAGTCTAATACAACTTGTTAATGTGCATGACCATTTTTCTTCTTTTTTTGGGGGGAGGGCTGTATTTTAGGGAAGGGTCTACAGAGTGTTCAGGTCTCACTACTAGATCAGACTCGTAGTAATCCACCTGTTTACAGCCTCCCAAGAGCTGGGATTACAGGCGTGTGCCACCACGCCCAGTCTCAGTTGCCATGTCATCGTGCCCTGGGGGAGGGGCCGGCAGGTCAAGCGCAGCGATAGAACTCCGGGCCCCTGCTCTTGCTTTCAGGGGCTTTAATCCGCCGAGCTATTTGCTCCCTCCCCCCTTTTTTTTTGGTTTTGGTTTTGGTTTTTGGAGGGATCAGGGTCTCGCTATGTAATTTAAGATGGCCTCTACCTCACTTAATTCTCCTGCCTCTGCCTCCCGAGTGCCGGTTTACAGCCATATGCCTCCACACCCAGCATCCATTTTTTGGAATATAGGTGTATGCTGCACTTGCAGGTAATACTGAACTGTCACAGCGCCTGTAAAGATGGCTCTGCACTGACCCCTAGTGGTATCTCCTGCGGCCTCCTGCAATTAACTAGGATGGAAGAAAAGAGCCCTGCTTTTTTTTTTTTTTTTTTTTTTTTTTTGGAGACAGGTTCTCACTTTGTAGCCCAGTCTGGCCCTGACCTCAGGAGTGCTGAGGTTTCAGGCGCGCGCCACCACCCCGGCAGTGGAGCCCATACTTGAACTTGTTATGCTGTCTTAGATCCCCGGTAAGGAGACCCTGAGTGGGTTGAGTAAATGCAGTCAGCATTCAGGTGAGGGGGTGGGTAGGACACTGCCGCTAAAGCATGGCGATACTCCCAGCAACTTGACAGGCTGAGGCAGTTTAAGGCCCACCTGGGCATCTTAGACCCTGTTTCAAAATAAAATTTAAAATGCCTGGCTAGAGCGCAGTGGTAAAGCCCTTGCCCTGAGTATACAAAGTGTGGGTTTGCTCTCCAGTGCCAGATGCAAAGGTTACTCTTCAAAGAATTTTTTTTTTTTCTTCAGAACAGGGGAGTGAACTCAGGGCCTTGCGCTTGCCAGGCAAGCACTTATTCTACTGAGCCATCTCCCTGGCTCAAAGAATATTTTGTCAGAAAGTATTTACAATATAGTATTAAATGAAAAAACTTACGGAAATATAGTATAATTCAAATTTTTAAACATATGTTTTATGATATATGTAATATAAATTTTTGAAAGACTAGAAGGAAATGCACCAGAATATCAAAACTGGTTCTCTCACAGTGATGTTATTATTGAGTTTTATTTTCTATACTTATGCATTATTACTAGCAGTAGTATTTTAATACTAGGGATTGAACTCAGGACCTTGCACTTGCCAGGCAGGCACTTATGCCGCTGAGCTATCTCCCTGGTCCCTCATGTGTTACACCTAGTAGGTGAAATACTTTACAAAGAGCAAATGAACAAGCTGCTCACGTTATTGCCAAACTAGGGACACAGCATCTGGCTGTCCAGGAGCCAGGTGCACCTTATTATCAGAGCACTCAGGGTCTGAACTGGTTTGCTTTGTCTTATCTCTAGTTATTATCGACAGAAAATCCCTCAAGGCCTTGAAGATCCTCCAGGCTTACTTCCAAGTGTCCTTTTGATGGGATAGCAGGATTTGGCTCTGTGCACAGCTTTGACTCTTTTGACATCAGGAATGAAACTCAGGACCTTGTGCTTACCGGGCTGGCTTCCCCAGCAGCCTTGACTCTTGTAAGAAGGGCTCTTATGTGAGTCCCTGGTTGAATCCAAGAGGAACAGTGAAGACTTTCTTTCGCTGACTATGGAAATTCAACTACATTGGGTTTTTATTTTTGTTTTATCATTTCAAGACATTCAAGACACGGTTTTGCCATGCAATTGAGGTTGGCTTTGAACTCACTTTGAAGTGCAGGCTGGCCATAGACCCACAGCGATCCTCCTGTCTCAGCCTGCCGAGTGCTAGGATTACAGGTGTGTGCCACCACACTGGAATCCAACATAGTCTTGACTGAAACCACTTGCTCTTTTTATTCTGTGCTCAGCCAGTGAACAGATAACAGTTGTTACTTTTTTCCTCTTTTGCTTATGCCAAAAAGGTAACATTTATTATTATGTATTTTTAAAAGCCCAACTATCCAGGTCCAGTGGTGCATACCTGTAATCCCATCCCTGAGTAGGGCTGGCAAATTCGAGTTCCACCTAGGCCTTGCAAGATCCTATTCGAAAATAAGAATAAAAAGGCCTAGAGATGTAGTATGTAGCCTTCAAAACTCCTCTAATAAAATCTCATTCCTTAGAATTTAATGTCAAGGGCCAGCGAGGTAGCTCAGCAGACTAAGTGCCTGCTTAGGCAAATATAGAGACTGGGGTTCAATCCCCAGCACCACATGCTGCACTGGCCCTGCCCCTGGGCACACTGAGCCAGCCAAGGAGACTGAGCATGGTGTCACAAGCCTATGATCCCAGCACTGGGGAGGCTGAAAACAGGAGGATCACTCTGAGTTGGAGCTGTGTAGCGAGACCCTGTACGAAATACATTTTAAAAAAGAGAAAATTTAATGTCACGTGTTAGGAATTTGATTATTATTTGTCGAGACAGGATTTTTTTTCTGTAGTTCAAGCTGGCCTTGAACTTGAGGGATGATCCTCCTGCTTCAGCCTCCTGAGTGCTGGGGATTACAGGTGCACACTACCACACCCAGCTACTTTATTTATTTATTTATTTATTTATTTATTTTGGCAGAACTGGGGATTGAACTCAAGCCCTCGCACTTGCCAGGCAAGCGCTTATTCTACTGAGCTGTCCCCTGACCCCACTCGCCCAGCTAGTAAAGCAAAATTTAAATAATATAAAGTTTTTGGGTGAGAATGTCATTAGTAGAGGTCTTGCTTAGCATTCATGAGGCCGTGGGCTCAATTCCCAGCACTCCAAAATGAAATAAACAAATTAATTACTTGAAAATTTTTTAGGGATGGACCATGGAAA